CACGCAATAACCATTGATCTTTGTCTGGTGACCGTGGGTTGGTCGATCGCGGTCTGAAGCCAGGTCGACTGGGACCTCGATCACGACCTGACCACCCGCCCATCAGCACTGTGACAGATATGAGGATACAGCAACCTCGATGCAACACCAAAGCGAGACTGGAAACGATTAGATGAGGGCCGTCTATAACAAAGCGTTAAACAAGCCCTGCCGCCACTTCGCAGACCCGCAAATAAGACAGCGCTTGACCACGTATGTCCAAGAGACTGCTTGGGGTAATTCAAGGGGCCATTGGACAAAGCAATACCATACTTACGGCCGTCAGACCGCATCAGGGAAGGCTGGTCGGAAGAGTGCAGAGCAGTGCTCGCAGAAGCAAAGAGACTCAAGAGAGTACACAGCCAGTCACACAGGCGAGTCGTGGGAGGCCATCGTGCGGCAAGAAACCACAAAGCGAGAACGATCAAGAAAGCACTAAGAAACGCTCACAGAGAACAGGTAGAGCAGGCCGCGAAGTCGCCAGAAGCACTGTGGAGAGACTCGTCAAATGGGCGAAGACGAGAGAGAACCCGGCCCCTGTGGTCACACCTGCCATCCAAACACCCAGAGACACAGCAGAGGTAACAGATCCGGCGAAGAAAGCAGACATCTTCCGAGACACCTTCTTCCCAGTACCACCGAGGCAGATCTGGAGGACATAAGAAACGCACACTACGACAATCAGGTGGACATGCCGCCAGTGACAGAGAAAGAGGTGAGATGCCATACGGGCAGCATCACCACTCAAAGCACCAGGTCCGGATGGCATCATCAACAGCCCTGCAGGCGGGATTAGCCCAGCTTGCAACTCACCTGACGAGGATCTTCAACCAGAGCCTGCACCTAGGATACTGCCCGGCCCACTTTCGCGGTCGACTACGGCTGTCTTACGCAAGCCGGGCAAAGACGACTACACGGCACCGAAGTCGTACAGCCCATCGCATTGATGAACAATTACAGGCAAAAATCATGGACGCAGTTACAGCACGGCGACTCAGCTACCTAGCCGAGACCTATCACGTCCTACCGCCGACACACATGGGCGGTGCATGCGTCGACTGAGCACGCCTTCACGCCGTGACCCATAAGATGAGACGCTTACGGTTTGGCAACACTGGACGTGGGGTGGCGAGTCTCTTGCTGCTCGATGTCTCCGAGCCTTCGATAACGTCTCACACACGCCTGCTTCACGATCTGCGGAAGAGACGAGTAGACGAGAAACAGTAAAGTGGATCGCAGCCTCAGCAACAGACACACCAGCATCAAAATCGACGGCTTCGGTCGATAGCATACCAGACCAACACGGGTATACCCCAGGCCTCGCCGCTATCGCCTATCCCTCTACCTCTTCTACAACGCCGATCTGATAGGATGAATGCAACCAAGCGCCAGACGCCATGTCCACAGGTGGCTACATTGACGACGTCGGCATCCTTGCGTGGGGCCAGACGAGGACAGAGCAGACGTGTGAGACACTGGGCAAAATCCTTTGAGAAAGCACAACGATGGGCCAGCACACACGCATCGGTCTTCGCCCCAAACAAGTTCCAACTCACCCACTTTACAAGATCACGCAAGCGCATTAACACAGAGGCTCCACCATACCGCGTGGGGCGAGATACGGCCCGGAAGCAACATGCAAATACCTGGGCTTAACGATGGACGGAAACTGCACTGGAAGCAACACACCGAGGAGATCAGGCGGAAAACGATTGAAGACAGTGGAATGGCGCTCAGTTGTCTGGGAGGATCCAACTGGGGCGCTAGCCCACGACCGCGGCGAATATACGAAGGCACAGTGCTCCCGCAGATGATGTATGCATGCTCATGGTCAAACGCTGCATAAAAGGAAAACTACACTAAGAGGATGCTCAACACACCGCAGAGCACATACAAGCAAGAGCAGCCAGGTCAATAGCGCATACAAAGCTACATCAAGAGCGGCACCAGACGTAGAGACATTTCTCCTCCCCACGAGCAGCAAATATGGAAGCACAACTCATACAATTATCGTCCGCCTACTCGAGCAAGAACATCGCAGCCACCTCAGGACGACAAACACAGCACAGCCGATAGTCCCAGACAAGACTCGCAGACACACCAGCTCCTGGCAGAAGGTCTACAACGACATAATCGAGCATGCGAACCCAAGACTTCGACAGGCAGCAGAGCAGATTCCGTGCTTCTCACGCCGCCCCTGAGACAGGCCCAACCACTTACTGATGCGACCGCTGGAGGAAGCACGGGCGCGACACGACAAAGAACACGTAAAGGAAGACAGCCTTAGCATCTACACAGAGATGAACAGCGGCATCGAAGGCGAAATAGGCTCTGCGGCACTCTGTGTCCGCTCACACAACAGGCGCGATCCGTACATTAAGGGGTTCAGACATAGAGTACGACGGTATATGCAGCAGAACTACAAGGCATCAGCTTAGCACTGCAGATCGCTCAAGAGTATGCGAGCCGAAACGGTGCGCGACGAGACGTCGCCATACACAGACAACCAGGCCGCCGTCTGGTCCATCGCTAAGGCGGAGGGACGATCAGGCGCCTACATCCTCGCGGACATCGCGCGACACAGGTCCGGAGCTCCAGGACAACGTGATGGACAGTGACCGTCCGATGGATAATGGCCCACGTCGGCATACCCGGGAACGAGGCCGTCGATAAAGCGCCAAGGAAGCCACCGGATGGAGAGAAGATGCCACAGGTTACTGGCAGACGCGCCTCCCCAGCTGTTCACTATAAAGTCGACTGTAAAAAGATGGTGCAGCATACAAGCCGAACGGGCATGGATAGCAAAGTGGCGCAATATTCAAGGCCGAGCAACCTACAGACACACTCCAACGCCCACCAAGAAAGTACCCGGCTCCACGAGGGGCTCACTAAGGGGAGAGCGCTGCTTTGGTGCAGCTGCGGACAGAGGGCGACTGACTTAACGACTTTCTTCGCCCGAAGAGTGCCAGACGTCACCAGCCCGCGCTGCGACTGCGGAGCGAGACGACAGACCGTCGCACATATCCTTCTCCACTGCAGCAAGCACAGTCATCTCCGGGACTGCATTCGAAGCAACCTGTCCGGACGAGACAACATCCGGACCATCTCAGGCACGCCAGCCAGCCACCAGCCATCGAGGCGTAGAGCAGACGCAGATCCTTGGGCAAAATGGGATCGCAGGCGCGAATACTTTGATAGCTGAGCGCTGGGGAGACCAGTTGCACAGCAGACGCAGCACGCTTAGGTGTACCACGCGTCTCCCCACGGTTTCAGAAGCACAGTGTTCAGTTAGTAGAGCCATTATCTAGATGAGCGGAGGCAATGCAGATAGTGGTGGGAGGGAAACGCAGGCCTCTGGGGATGATGGTTCTTTTTGGAATGAAGTGGGCGGCGTGGATCAACGTCCGCACCGCGTCGGCTGTCTGCCAAGCCTGTCAGCCGGGCATAGCTGTTCGCGGCTGCAACCGTGTGACTGATCAACAACCCACCACGTCCTGTAGAACGAGTTTTGACGATCTTGCCGTCTGCACGGAGAAACTGCCGGGATATATCCATATTTCCCTAAATCGACCTTTTGAGGCTACAGTCTTAATCCTCGCAATCTTAGCTCTCTTTCTAGCCCACCGAGCTTGTCGTAGATGTATACTGTCGCAAATGGACAGGAGAGGGTTAGAGGAGAGTTAGGGAACAGCGCTAACAGAACGAGCAACAGCATAGCTAACGATGCACTTTTTGGTGTCGGAGGCTGATAGGCTGTAAGAATGAGGACTTTACAATAGGCGGACGCTGGAACTGTCGATTTACAGGCGTGGCGAGGAAATTCCGAGCGCCCGAAAGAAAAAGTGTGTGAGAAGTAGTTGGGCAGGCACTGAGATATCGGTATAGGCTTGTATTGAGACGAATCCTTGAGAGCTATCAAGCCTCTCAGAGGGATGATATATACCTACGTCACGTGATTGTGGCTGGTGTGAGCCGACGGTGCCCCGAAGGGTTCCCGGTGGCTCACCAGTCTGTAGCTGGAATCCTGTGGTGATAGAGCATCGTGACAAAGTGTCCCGTTACACCATGCGTCCCGGCACGCTTGGATTGACATTAGGAATGCTAAATCTGCGGTCAAGCACGGAAGCTCGTTCAGTCAGATACGCCCAGCATGAGTGATACCCAGGCAAGCCTTATGTAACCTCAGCACGACAAACACCACATGCAGACTCCAGTCTACTATGTCACACGTCAACAGGGGCCACGACAGTCGATATGCAAGCCTTACTGCTGTTGATGGGCCGTTTCCACTTGACTAGGACGCCAGCCTCTTTCCCGCAGTTATTCAGCGCCCATGTGGCAAGCGACAAGAGGACAGTCAGTCGGAACAACAGAAAGCACACTTCATCAGGCGACATGGAGGAGCAGAAGCAAACGAACATGGATATGACCGATGGCTGTATGGAGATTTAATAGGGTACGCTCTAACTATCGCTGCAGTGCTCGAGGGGCACAGGAACTGTTGCTTAGTCAACGTTACGAGTCACACGCTTCGTACTGTCTAGCTCACGACTGGACAATCCACAGGCCAGACACGATCTGTGCCTGCAAGCAGCGTGGTCTCCGTCACTACCGTTATCCGGCTTATGATCAGCACGAGACCTAAATTCGTACTAGACCTAAATTTGTGACTGTCTAGACTATAGCAGAGAAGAAGAAGCCCTCGAATCGGCATCTGTTCGTATGGCGCTCGTTCTTGACCCAAACTCTCGATTGTATTGCTCTGCTCGGGAATACAACGAGGACAGGAGACAGTGGTAGACAGCAAAATCGAGACGGAGACGCGGTGCCGAACAGCACGGTGCCTAGTACTTTTATCTTACATGCGGACAGTGTGGTGCTGCATACTCTCTACTTAGAATGTCATGGTATATACTAATGTTCGTGAAACGTTGCACGCCGTCATTGCTCTGTCGCCATCTTCAATCCGCGCGGGCGAAGATGGGAACAGCAAGCTGCCCTTGTAGTGGCAGACGCCTAGAACTGAACCCAACGTGCACACCAATCTCACCGCTGGGTAGAGTCCATGCTTGCGCAGTCGTTTCCCAGTAGCTCAAGTCACGTCGAGTCAAGGAGAACTGTACAGTGCCAGATGCACCAGCATCGAGGGCCATCTTCTCGAAACCACGCAGGCTACGTGCAGGCGCATTCGCTTCCGGAGGATACGAGAGGTACAGCTGAGGCACTGTAGCGCCAGCAACCAAGCCGGTGTTAGTGACGGTCGCGCGAATAGTAGCGAGGGTGTCCCACAGCTCTGCATTACCACCTGGCTGGATCGGGGCGGCCGGATTAGGCATTCTCGAAACATTGCTTGCGCCGACCTCGATCTGCAGGCAGGAGATGTTGAACGTGGTGTAGCTCAGTCCGAAGCCGAACTCGAATGCTACGCTCGCATTGCGCGCATCGAACTCTTTGTAGTCGATCAAGTTGCCCTCGGCGAAGTCGGCCTGCCATGCATCGGAATCAGTGGTGGTGGCCAGCTCGGTGCTGTTGATCAGATTCTTGGCGTAGTCGGTCTCGTCGTCGGCGATCGTGTAGGGCAGCCTGCCGGACGGATTCACGTCGCCCCACAGGATGTCAGCCACAGAGTTCCCAGACTCCTGGCCTGGCATATGTGCTGCCAGTATGGCTGTTACGTTCGGGTTGTTGCGCCACGGCATGGTGTTTGGTGCGGCGCCGTGGAGCACCACCACGGTATTGTTACAGACGGCTGTTGTGCGGTCCACGACAGACGTAGAGTTCCACTCTGCAATCAGCGTGGTGCGGTCGTCGCCCTCGCTGGCCCAGGACTTCAAGAAGACAATGCACACCTCTGGTGGTGCAGGGCCGAGGCTAGCGAGACCTCCCCCAACAATGTATTCGTTGTCAGTGATGTACTGCACAACAGCTCCCTGCGACTGGCCACGAGCTTTTATAGCTTCTAGAGGTGACACCACATACGAAAAGCGGCCCGTGCCAGAGCCGCCCCCGACTGCCAGCGTGCCGACGTCGTAATCGCCATCCATCAGGTTGAGTCCCATCGTAGCTAGCGAGTATTGTCCCCTCGTAAGATCAGCCGCGTCGTTGCCGAAAACCCCAATTGTCTTAGGAGTCTTTAGAGGCAGAGCTCCGTTGACGTTCTTCAACAGTACTGTTCCGGCTGCGCCAAGGTCCCGGATCAGCTGCGCATGCTGCTGACTGCGGACGTCCACAGTTGGGCCAAGCATGAAGTTGTGCGCATATCCAGAAGCACCAAAGAAGCCGAGGTGCGGGGTGTATCCGTCGATCGGAGGAAAGTCGGCGTCTTGGCCCAAATGGAAGTACGGTGTCATGATCCGAAGGACCATGTCGTCGACTCGTTCTTCCGCGAGCGATCCGTTATTCACGGAGACGGTGATGTTGTCACCCCAGAACGATAGTGTCGGATCTGGGAAACCGACACCGCCAGGCATATTCATATCCAGCCCCGCTTCGATGGAAGCCACGCCAGAATGTGTTGCGAGCCAATCGCTCATCACATAACCTTGGAAGCCTAGTTCTTCTTTCAGCAGCCCATTGAGAGTCTTGCTGTTCTGGCACCCTGGAGGGCTCGTCAGCAGAGATTGATGCAAACGTGCTCGAGCTGCGTACCGTAGCTACCGTTGATGCGCTGGTACGAGCACATCACAGCAGATGTGCCTGCCCGAACGGCGTTGGCGAAAGGCCAAAGATATGTCTCGTGCATGGTTTTGTCGTCCACATTGGAGCTGACGGCCTCGATTGTGACACCGTTGACGATCGAAGGATTTCTTTGGATTTCTTGTTCGTTTGCTGTGGACGTCAGACACAACGTGCGTAGCATCTGCCGAGTCTGCACTCACCGATATAGTGCTTTGTGCATGCCTGGACGCCGGCACTCTGAACTCCATGGACAGTCTCCTCGACGAGAACGCCCGAGAGGTAGGCGTCGGGACTGAATCCCTCCCAGTTGCGTCCACCGAATGGTGATCGACCAATTGCACCAACAACGGGACCTAGAGCTACGTGGGCGCCTTTGCCTCTGAACTCTGCGCCCATGTACTTGTCAGATGAAGTAAGCGATACTGCATCATGGACGGTATCACCTATGTATCACCTAGGTATCACCGATGTATCAGGTTTATGTTCAAAAAGGAGAGAGAACAAACCAACGAAAAAGAACAATGATCAAGACATAATCCATCATCGCAATCATAAACTTCTCCTGAGCTCATTTTCAGCATTTTCATCTGACAACTCTCCACGCTGACGAACCAACGCCCGATCCCAAGAAGCTGCCGCTGAGACACCAGCTGAGAACACTGAGACGGAGACTGCCTGTCGAATGGCAAGAGGCCCGTCGTGCAGGCACAGACCGCTGAAATTGAGTCTTTCAATCGGCGCAATGTTGCCAACACATGGGCCGGAAGTACCTGTGCATAACTGTGAGCCACGAAGCGTCCACGACCAAACGGCGCGTACCTGTGACCATCTGAGCCTTTTCTTCAATTGTCAACTCTGCGACGAATGCCCGTGCCTTCTCAAGAGCTCCATCCCATCCACCTGCTCCACAAGTCCGAGGCGAGGGATACACAGGAGGACTTGTGCCATACTGTGTGTGCTTGACGTTGAATTGCGCTGCAACAGCGGTAGCACATGCACTCAGAGGCAGTGCTCGTACCATGTTTCGTGTTGACCGGAGCTGCTATGGTGGAATCACGGTCGTGCTGACATGAACACAGAAGCCCGTCGACGAGGTCCTTATAACTTTCTCCCGCTTTGGACGTGCGCAGGGAATGCTTGCACGAGTCTGTTGAGCACGCACTAGGGATCCGCCACGCTGACTCTGACTGCCAGACAAATGCTGACTGTACCGATGTCAGAATGTTATGACCGTCGACTTGGAGCCAGGCAAACGAAAATATCGGAAATCCACGTGATATGAGAACGACTCGGGATGACTTGCAGTGAGCGAACTCGGGATAACAACAGACTGCCGGGAACTATCACGTAAGCCACTGGTGATGCACGCGTAGCAGACTACTCAGGAATCTGTGCCCTAGCCGACTGCGGACCGGCTTTGTCCAGAGTCTGCTGTCACTGGGGCGATTTGATAGTCGTAGGTCGTGACGGAATCTCATCTACCTGACTTGTCGAGTTTTGTGTACATGTGCAATGCTATAAAGCCATGCCTTCTATTGCCTGACTCCGCTCTCGACCTCTACTACCATCTCTGGCGCTATCCCTTGCGCCTACCCACTATTCTAGATTTCTATATCTGTACTCTAGCCCCTATGCAAAGCCTGATTCGGAGCCTCACCAGTGTTAATGGGAACGAAAGGAGCCCAATACCGACTTGCCTGTTCCGGCAAACTGTATTTAATCAAGCCGTTGCTTTCATATTAGTAGCGCATCGTTCAAAAATTACTTTCATCGTTGTTTGCAGGCGAACATTGTTGCCACGAGCTTACTGCAATCATGAGCACAATCATATCTACTCTCCACAACCTCAAGGCCGAAATGCACCGAGTCTCTTACTTGGATGTCGACGCATTCAGAGAGGTTATCGGTACTATGAGCTTGAACAATCTCAGTTCTTTGTTGAGCACAGTGAATAGCTTTGATTTAAGATGCAGGCTTTTCAAAGAAATCAATCCTGCAGAAGGGTCGAAATTGTTGGATCAGCTGCCTTACCACTGGAAAGCAGAATCGCTCAAATACATGCCGAACGAACAACGGCGACAAATAGTGCAGACTTGGTCACAGCAAAAAACACTCGATGAGCTCGATAGGTTGAAAGAATGGCAGAATAGAGATGACTCCCAGTGGCAAAATGGGCTCGCGGATACACGTGTCGTGACAGGTCGACTGCCTGACCATTGTCCTCGTAACATGGACGCGTGCGCTGTTTGCCGCAAGTCCTATCTCATGGGAGCATTGACTTCCTCTTGTGGGAGGTATAGCTGTTGCGTAGCGCAACATCGGCGAAGGCTATTGCTCTGACTGCAATGAGTAACGTAGTGCGCCGTCACCAAGCTAGAAAGATGTCTATTGTATCAATGGTGGAGAGGTCTGCTGATCACAACATAGAGCATTCATTCACTTGAGAGAATATGACTCTAGCCTATAACCAGAACGTTTCCTCTTGAGGCCCGAACGACGCATATCAGCCCCTTGTCTTGCCTATCGAATTGCATGCAGTGAGTTGTAGAGCTTAATCTATGCGATAAGCATCTCTACATGATGAGTAACGACAAGACAAGCATTGTCAGAGACCCAGCTGTCGTTTTGGTGGTCGAGACTGTCGCGTAGCTGCTGCTTGATCTGCACGCATCGCCAGCCGTTCTCCACCAGTGCCGGTACAGTATCTTCCCGTTCCTCATCGTGACGCAGAAGATTGAAACGCCCAAAACAATAATTAAAGCATGGTACTCAGCAGTTACTTAGACGCTACGGTAGACTGCTTGAACCGTACTGTTGAACCAAAACGTGAGCACAAAGCAGCCACTGGAAGAGGTTCACAGCTTTGGTTCCGCTCGCTGAATCAAAAGAGATATTTGATGCTGCATACAGCGAGTCAGGGTGTTTGGGAAACACACCTGCACTACGATTAACGAATATATAGTGTCACTCAACAGCGTCTCACTTGCATCTCAGCATTAGCACTTTCGTCAATACGACATGATCATTGTGGTGTAGTAAAAGGTCACGTGACTTTAGACTCCTAGGTATAAGTTCCGATAGCTTTCCAAAGAGAAGAGGGCAACTTCTTTCAACAACACCACCCTAGCGATTACCTCTTGGCAACTCTTTAATCCTTCTATCCCACGGATCGCGAGTCGGAACCCTTCTGCCTTTGCTCGATATCTTGTTGTGCCACATCATATGACGTTGTTGGGTTGTAAACGTTTAAGAAGTGACTGAAGGGGGTGTGGCACGCGACTCACTTGCCAAACATGTTCATCTATTATGTATTTTTGACGTAGATAGCGACGATTTTTCCGGCCTCGGTATAGGTGCCATTGACAGGGGCGGCTTGACCTCCCGCGGTCGTCACGTAGAGTATGTCTTTATCTATCCATGTTCTTCCAAAAGCAGCTGAAGTGGCGCTCCTAAATCAATGCTGAATTTAGCTCCTCCCGCAACCAAGCCTGAGTTCCATCGACATCCACTCTTACCAACGAGCTTCGCCGTTCTCGGTGATGAACGCGATCCCTTCTTTCGACATTATGAAGTCGTCTCCAAACACGTCGGTTGCGAGAATCTCGTAAGGCCCGACGCCTTCCTGTGGACAGATCGATACGCGTGCGGCAGAATAGGCCTTTGATTGCGTTTACGTAGCATGCGTAGCCCTGAAGATTCGGATTCCATTGATACCCAGGATGAGGTACATCTTGGAATCGGCTTACCGTCATATCCTCCAGTACCACTTCGTACTTTCCAGTCCATATGTTCAAACGCCAGACGACGCCTCGAACCGAGTCTGAGATCAGAACCGTGCCTTCGCGACGATCCAACGCCGTCATACCATTCAAAAAGCTTGCTTCTGTAGTCTTTCGATTTCGAGATATTTTCGCAATCCCCACCACGGTTGAAGTCTATCTGCCATACCGAATAGCTTGCTGGATCTGGTGCGCTTCGAGAAATCGAAAATTGCCATGATGAAGACGAAGATGTCGGGAGCCATCTCCGTGATACCAAGCAAACTGGAGAGCGTGGGCCCGCCTTCGAGGTTTGTAACGAGTGTTGCGGTGTTGTGGAATGGATCGACGTGGTAGTTCGGGTCGATCGACGCGTGACGAGTAGATTTCCGTTCGAGCGAACGGCGATGTTTTCGACCCAGGTGCCGTTGTCGAACTGGAAAACCAGGTGAGAGGAGGTCTGTAGACCAGGTGGCAGAACAGCAGTGGCGGGGGCGTGCTCTCAGAGCTGAGGGAAAGAGGAGTAAGAAGAAGATGTTTAGTAGAAGCATTGTGGACTAAGGTTGTGATGACGAGTGTAAGAGGCTGAAGCCTTGGTTAGTAGTACTTGGCCCATGGCCTCAAGTTATGCTGGTTGGGATAGGCTGAACCCTGGAGCGTTGTCGGGGCTTCATCGGCGCTCCACGGACCCATAGAAGTTTCTCGAACCTAGTACTACGTGGGATACATAGACTCAGCGCAAGCGTAGTGTAGCTTCTCTATCGAATTCATTACTGTTATACCTTGCACTTATGGTCAACCCATCGCACCCTTACAACGAGGACATAGCGATCCATTCCTCGGGGCTGTATTTGTACGCACGTCGCAGAGATTGTGCCGTCGTCGTCTGGAGGACGACTGCTCGGATAAACGTCTGGTACTACTGTACAGAGATCCACTCATGACAGAATTCAAACTAGCCAATCATATCGACTATTCTTCCGCAGATACTGGCATCTAGCGCTAAGCTGTGTAAGGAAGGTGGGACTCTGCAAGACAATTACGCAGCTGCGTGGATTGAGAGAAGCGCAAGCGCTACAGTAACGACCATACACGTCGGCTTGGAGCTAGGCAAACGAAAGTATTGGGCATCCACGTGATGTGGGAGGCACTCGGGATGACCTGGAATGCACTCGGGGATAGCAACAGAAGACCTGGAGCACCACGTAAGCCACTAGTGATGTGCACAACAGACCACTCAGGACTTGCAGATACGCCTTATCCAGAGTCTGTTGTCACTGGGGTGATTTGATAGTTTAAGGTCGTGACGGTGTCTATCCCTAATGACCTATTGAGTTCCGTGTGTAACATTAGAGAGATTGCACTACTGACCGCATTAGACGCAGTGTACTGCAGGTACAAGATTGACGATTGAATCTCACTACAACACCACTGCCGCTGCACCTACCTCGTCCAGGTTCTGTATGAGTACGAAGAGTTTAGAATGTCATATTTCACGGACATGCTTTCCCCGGATGTTGGACTGCGGAATGACAGCCGCCCAGCGGACACGCAGATATCTCGTCATACCTCTGTATGCAAGCACCACGATGAGTTCATCGAGCCGCGGTAACACGATAACGAGGAACAATGGCACGGCTTGATCGCATTCGCATCGTCCGAAGAGCACAGTCGAGCTGAGAATCGCCCAGCACACATCGAGGCACAGTGTACAGAGTGCGCAGCAGAGGTGAAAGATGGGGACGACAAAAGCCAAACGGCGCTACCAAAAAGAACACCAGACTCGTATCGAGCAGGTACATCGTCCCCTTTACGCGGCGGGACAGGCGGCTAACACCGCGAGGTGAATGTCACTGACGCCGGAGAGGCCCAAATGTTCCCGCCCTCGAGACACAGCCGCCAAGCCTAACCTGCGCGTCTTTGAAGAGAAAGATCAAGCTCATCGCCTTGGAGTACAAGCAGAAACGGCATCATACCGTAGCAAGTGCCTAGCGATCCCAACGAGACGGGTTTGGGACACGGCGCGTCACACCACGGTAGAGTTGAATCAGGAGTCCATCGGCGAAGCATGTTTCCTTGTCTAGATACTAGACAAACTGGATTCAGTCGAAAGCAGATTTAAGGCATAATCCCACAAAGCAGGAGACGTTCCCTACCGTGTAGCTTGTGCTGGGAGGTGCCAAACAGAAGAAGGCAAGGACAGCTCGTGGATGCCTTCAGAGCAGTGCTGGAATCCATTTTGCCGACAGTGCCTATTGTCTCA